TCTACTGGTGAATTTTGCACATTAATGTGTTTTATGTTGTTAATTAACATATTTTCATTTCAACTTGAAGAACTCCTTTTTGCATTTCTTGTAAGGCAGATCTAGTGGTGAACTTCATCAGCTTTTGTTTGTTTGGGAAAATCTATTTCTCATCTCTGAAGGACAACTGAGTTTTGTATTCTTGTCTGACAGTTTCTGTGGTTTGAATGTCCCCTCCAAAACTCATAATGAAATTTAATTGTTATTATACCAGTATTAAGAGATGGGGCTTTTAAGAGGTGATTGGGCCATAAGTGTGCTGCCCTCATGAGCTGATTAATATCATTATTGTGGGAATTGAGTAGTTTTGACGGGAGTGGGCTCTTGACAAAGGGTGAAGTTCAGCCCTTATATTCTCTTTGTCTTGTGTGTTTGCTTCTGCTTTTCACCATCTTCCATGAGATGACATTCACCAATGCTGGTGCCATGCTCTGAGAACTTCCCAGCCTCCAGAACCATGAATCAAATAAACTTCGGTTATTTATAATTTAGCCAGTTTGTCGTATTCTCTTACAGCAACAGAAAACAGACCAAAACAGCAGTTTTTCTTTTCTTTAAGTATCTTGAATATATCATCCTTTCCTAGCCAGATTTCCTCTAAGAAATTTGCCAATTGTCTCATAGATACTCCTCTGCATGCAATGAGTAGCTTTTTCTCTTGTTACTCTCAATATTTTCTCTTTATCTTTTGATAATTTAATTATAATGTGTCTTGGTGTAGATCATTTTGCGTTCAACCTATTTGGAAAATTTTTAGTGTGATAAATCTTGATGCCCACTTCTGTCTCAAAATTTGGGAGGTCCCTTTCCTTTTCCTTTTCCTTTTTCCCTTTCCTTTCCAAATGGTCTTGCACTGTCACCTGAGGCTGGAGTGCAGTGGCATGATCCTGGCTCACTGCAGCATCTACCTCCTGGGCTGAAGTAATCCTCCCACGTCAGCCTCCTGATTAGCTAGAACTACAGGTGTGTGTCACCAACCTGCTTAAATATTTATTTTTTGGGAGAGATGTGGTCTCAGTATTATACTCAGGCTGGTTTTGAACTCCTGGACACAAGTGATCCTCCAACTTTTGTCTCCCAAAGTGCTGGGATTATAAGTGTGAGCCACTGCATCTGGGTATCATTATTTCTACAAATAAGCTTAATATCTCTTTTTCACTCCCTTATATTTCTGGAGAATATTATCTTTTATTTCACTTGATGGTGTCCCATAAGTGCTGTAAGTTTTTTTCACTCTACATTCTGTTTTCTTTTTATTCCTCTGATTGGATAATTTCAAATTTTTGCTGAGTCCACTAATTCTTTTCCTTGATTGAATCTGCTGTTGAAACTTTCCAACATTTTTTCAGTTTAGTTACTATATTCTTTATCTTTAGGATTTAAAAAAATGGTTTCTATTTCTTTGTGGAACTAATTTTGTGTATTGTTTTCTTAATTTTGTTTAGTTGTCTATCTGTTTTTTCTTGTAGTTCATTGAACTTCTGAATTCTTTGTCAGTTTATTTATAGATCTCCATTTCTTTAGAGTCAGTCATTGGAGCTTTATCAGATTCCTTTGGTGGTAAGTGTTTTCCTGATACTTCATAATCTTTGTACCCTTGTATGTCTTTCTGTGCTTTTGAGGCAGCAGCCACCTCTTCCAGCCTTAACTGTTCATATCAGTGGAGACAGACCTTCACTAGTCAGTCTAACCTTGGGTTCTAGATGGACTGGCTATTCGTGTTCATGAGTAAGTGTGGCTGTTTATGCTCTTCAGTTGGTGGAGCCACTGCCTGCACCCTGAGGTGGAACTGCTGGCTGTGCTTCATGGTTGGGTTGGATCATTGGCTGGGTTCTGTGGTCAGGAAGAGCTGTTGGTTAGACTCTGCATTCAGGCAGGGGTACTGGCTGGGCTCCTTCATGGGGTGGGGATTTTGACGGGCTTTGTGTCAAGTAGGGCAACTGGCTGGACTGCACAATTACTTCTTGTCAGATGTTGTTGCAGCCTGTGCTCCTGGCTTTGTGATACTGTTGTTTAGACTATATATTGGACTGGGCTTTTGGCTGGGCTCTGAAATTGCCCCTGGTTGGATGGGGACCCATGAAGTGCTCCCTGACTGGGTGTACTGCTGGCTGACTGTCACGTTCAGATGGAGCCATAGACTAGGTTTTGTAATCGGTGGTGGTCTCGGGATGTGCTTTGTAGTTGGGCAGGCCACAGGCTGGGCTCCATGTTTGGGTAGGGGCACAGGCTGCACTGTGTGTTTGTGCTGGGTCACTGGCTGGGAACTTGATCCAGGTAGGACTACTCACTTTGCTCCATGGTCAGTCAGGGTCACTATGAACTCCCACATTGGCTGGATTTGTAGCCTGTGTCCCATATTTGAATGTGGTTGTAGGCAGAGCTTCAAGGCTGTGTTGGGTTGTTGATCAGGCTCCTTCATAAGGCAGGGTAAGAGACTATGCTCCACAGTTAGGTCTCCCAAACAGATATGTAAATCTGAAAGTCACCAGCTGGACTTCCTGCTTGAGTAGGGCCTGGGGCTGGGCTCTGAACTTGGGAAGGGTCACTGTTTGGGACTTCCTGGTCAGGCCAGGTCAGAGCCTGTGCTCTGCAGTTAGGTGTGGTTGTTGGCTGGCCTCCGTATTTGGGCAAAGTCTTAGGCTGGGCCTGAGGCTGAGCAGAATTGTTGTGGAGGATCCTTGGTCAGTTGGGGTACAGGCTGTGCTCCACCATTAGGCAGGGTTGCTGGCTGGCTTTCCTATCTTGCAAGGAACTTAGGCTAGGCTCTGAGGCTGGCATCCGCAGCCAGGCTGTACCACTTGCTAAGGATGCAAGCCAGACAGACACTGCCTACCATACTTCCTGGCCAGATAAATTTGTTGGCTTTGGTCTGCAGGTAGGCAAGCTGCTGGCTGGTCTCTCTGATTGGGTGCCACTGCTAGTAGGAATGCAGTCTCACTGCCAAGATCCATGTGGTAATTGCTGAAGCCTTGATCACTTCTTTGCTTCTAGATGACCTGAGGTGGTCTAGTCCTGCTGATTCCCTCAATGTTCTCTGTGGCATGGGACATAGCTGGACCTCCTAGGATGTGCTTTGGAATGCTGTTTGAAGCTGGATACCCACTTTGGCTCTCTTTTTCCCACTGAAGAAGTCATGGGCCCAGGGGAACTCCATCCATGTTGTGATGGCACTTGGGGGAGGGGTGATACTGCAAAGTTAAACCATTACTTTTACCGTTCTAATGAGGCTGTGTGTGTGTGTTTCAAGGGGGCGCTTCAGTCTCACCCTTGGGTTCTGGGATTTTTACAAGAGCATTTTTGTCTGTGGATAATTACTAACTGAACTTTCTGTGAGGTAGTATATAGCCAAGGACCTCTCATTCTGCCTTCTTGCATATGTTTTATCTGTCCTGGGATTTAATTTACCTTCTTGTACGTTGGAAAAGATGGATAACCAATGATCCATTAAGGGCTAAACAAAGGTAAGTCTTCATGCATGGTAGAAACAGATATGTAAATTTAAATAATATTTTTTATCAAGGAAGAAACTATTAAGTAAGCAAGTAACTAAAATCACAGAATGTTGAAATCAAGGCTAAAAGTTACTTTGACATTCCACAATTTCTCTATGCCTGCCTTTTTTGGTGAGAATTAGAGGTAACATTTGTAAAGACTGTTCATGGTGCAAAACAGCATCTGAATTTCTGTAGCTCACAGAAAGAGAAGCATTTTTCTCACAGAGATATCTTTTATTATTTAAAGAGCCTGTAATTTCACAGGTAAATATTATTTGCCAGAACTAAAAGAAACAAGGCAGAACTAAAACTTTTACATAGAAAAGGGAGTGAGATGGTTTTAATAAATGGGATGAGGGACGTGTAATGTGTTTTCACCTATAAATGTTTTGAGGGATGCTCAGATAGTAATACAAAGGATGAGGTAAAAGAGACTGGGTGGAAGGAAGGGAGTCCATTTAAATCTCTCTTTGGATTTAACAGTTGAACTGACATGTACAATGAAAAGCAAGCAAAGTAGGAAGAAAGCGGTCCTGATGGGGTGTTTAATATCCTTGGGGTAAAATAGAGCTTGGTGTTCTCAGGATAAGGGGTGAGGTCAGTGAGTTGGAACCTTAGACGACCAGGATAAAGGAGGTACAACATGAAACTTGGACGAGAAGTAGGTGTCAGATAACATAGCATCTGAGGACACGGTAAGAAGTTTAAATTTTATTCCAACAGCAACGAGAAAAACCTAATATTGTGTGCTCAGTAACCTCTTCCACTGAAAAGAAAATTAAGAGTCCCTCAATATTCCACATGACTTTTGTATAGGATACTGAATGGCTGCCTTGAGTAGAATCAAGGTTGAGCCTCAGAACTGAAATAGAGATAAAATCGATCTTCAGTCCTTCAAACCATTCAGATATCCCTGGAAAGTACATCATCAATTTCAGCCCTACCAATCCACCCACCAAGGACAATAAATCTGTAACGGTCACGAAATCATTCAGAGTCCTCCTTGCTTCATCCCACTTTATCTGCTCCCCAGCCCCTCTGATTGTGCTAATGGACATATTTGGTATGAATACCTAGCTTTCACAACAGGACCTCCTAAAGACTGTTCTCAGTTATCTGGAACTTTCTGCTTCTAGCCCTTTTTTTTCTTAGAGACCCTAGTGCTGAACTTCTATAAATTATACCTTAACAGAACCAGTATAATTTAGTAAAATGTAGATGCCTTTAACAATATGATATATATACGCTTCACACCTGAACCACCATCAATGGAATCTTCTCCATCCTGTATGTCAGATAAAACATTCTGCTGCCCTAGGTACTTGAACACCCATTGGTGACTCACCTACCAAGGTCTAAAAGCATTGCACCCCTCCCAAGTCTTGAGGAGAAGGGCACTCAGAGTAACCTGAAAAGGCATCTCTTTCCCACTCTGACTCTCCTCCTCCTTCCTTAAATCACCAGGAAACTGTTGCATCCAGAGCCAAAATATCTAGAGGAATGTCGGATGAGAAAGGGCAACCTGTACGTGGTGACAGATGCTGTTGAACTGATCAGTGATACTCTGCTGTGGGACAACAGAAGTAGCAATCTTTCTGGGAAGATTTCTCTTTGGATTACTTCTGTCAAGGTATAAATTTGTCCTGAAGTGGGATTGAAATACAAAATAGTACAGCCAGTCCTGTCAACCATGCTTCATTTCCCAGGGGGCTCTGGACTAATTCCCAGGGATTATGAGGGGTGGAATCATTATTTCCCACTTCTCACATGTCAGTGTATCCTGACTTCTGATCTGAGAGTATATCCTAATAGCTTCCAATACAGTGTTTTAGTATAGGGGGTCATGCAGTATTGATAAAATCAAAAATATATTTAATTATTTAATATTGTGTTTTGCTTTGGTTAAATGATAAATTCAGCAGAATCCAAATGTGTGGCTGCTGTGTTATATAGAGTCTAGTTTTATGGCTGGAAGAAATGAGGGACCACTAACACTAAACCCCAGTTATTAAAGTACTTTAAGCTCTAAGAAAACCTGATAAATGTTTCAAGGAGTGAAATCAAAGTATCCTCAAGTTCATGAGACTTATATGAGTCATTCACAATAACCAAGTATATTTTTAATATTAATACATTTATCAAATATTCAGATCAAGTATGGGAGAAAGACATATAAAGTTTGTGTGTGTTATAATGTGCTTTTGCACTACGTCTGTGTAATTGATCCCCACTTAAGAGCTTTAGAAACTAGAGAAAAAAATCTGATATGCGTACTAACTTTCCTAATGCCAGTGAGTTACGACTAAAAAGTAGACAAATGGTAACAGACCCTGGACAGCAGGAATAGTGGACTGCCACCTGCAGCAGGGGAGAAATTTTAGAAACAAGAATCCCCAAAAAGTTCAGGAGTTGGAGGCACTAGCTACCTCTGAAGATAGGGTATAGGTGGGACTGAAAGTAAGAAATATTGATTGGAAATCTTTTAAAATTTAAAAAGAATGTTTGTGGGTATATAGTAGATGTAAATATTTATGGGATACATGAGATATTTTGCTACAGGCATATAATGTGTAACAATCATTTCAGGGTATCTTTATAAAGAACATTCAGAGCCCAAATCCATTCCCACCTCTACATAGCCAGGCAACTACCCTCATCCACTCTGGAAGAAGACCTTCTGAAAAACTATTCACTATGGGCTCTAGATTTAGGGAGACTAGTTACAGTGATGGGTGGAGGTGAGAAGCAACATTGCAAAAGGAGAATAAGTGCACATCCTCAGTGGGAGTGAGGACATTGAGCTCACTCAGCTCCAGGCATCATGTCCCTACCTTTTCCACCCCCACAACACACAGCCTAGGTGGGAGATTAAAGAATTATTTCCTAGGAAAATTAACCAGTACAAAAGAAATAACTAAAAAAACCCCAACAGCTGGAGACTCCAAAGAGATAGCTTAATCCCTGCCTGGTTGCCCCAAATAGAAACCTCTACTCGACATATCCTGCCAATGCATGCTTAACAGCTTTCCTGCTTCACTCGTTAGTAAAACAGAAAAAAAAATCACGGACACTTGAGGAAAGCCTAAAACACAAAGCAAAAACACTTTGAAATCAGGAAATTAGAGGAAACAAAGATGACATAGGGAGGTAAGAAATACTTGATCCCCCTAAAGACATGGTGTTTTGTTTCCATGAAAGGATAGTGCTCTGTAAAAAGGGTATTTATGGCTCTTATAAATTAAAAACAGAGTAGTAGAAATTTATTGTTCTTTTTCTTAAATAGAAGAGTCAAAAAGCAAAATCAAAGAAATTTCCAGGAAAGAGTAAGCAAAAAGATAGGAGAATATTCATAAAAAAATTTGGAGGCCAGGCACAGCGGCTCATACCTATAATCCCAGCGCTTTGGGAGGCTGACACAGGTGGATTGCTTGAACTCAGGAGTTCAAGACCAGCCTGGGCAACATAGTGAGACCTTGTATCTACAAAATATAAACAAAAAATTAGCCAGGTGCTGTGGCACATGCCTGTAGTTCCAGTTACTTGGGAGGCTGAGGTGGGAGAATTGCTTGAGCCTGGGAGGTTGAGGCTGTTGTGAACCGTAATTGTGCCACTGCATTCCAGCCTGGGAGACAGAATGAGGCCCTGTCTCAATTAAAACAAAACAAAACAAAACAAACTTGAGGATCAGTCAAGGAGATTTAACTACTCCTGAATAATAGGAGTTCCTGAAGGGGAGAACAAAGACATACTGCAATGGGGAAAATCTTTCAGGAAAAAATACAAGGAAGGTTCTGAGACCCAAAGAATGTGTTTCCAGAATCAAAGTGTCCGCTGAAGGCATGGTTTCACAAGTCAACATAGATTCATACCACAAAACGTAAGTGTGAATTTACAGAACATTTACCCCCAAAAAGAAAACCATAAATATTTCTAAAAGGGAAATAGTCATATTCCAGAGAATTCCAGCCTTCAATTCTATGCCCAAAATATCAAGTATGAAGTAAAATAAAAAATGCCTTTAGATGCACAAGGTCTCAAAAAAATGTGTTCCCCATCTGCTCTGAAGATAATGAGTAAAGAGACAGAGAAGGCACAGGGACATCACATTAACTGATAAAGGAAAGGTTGGGAGTGGGGAAAAGCAGTTTCCCCCTGAGTATAAACAGTGAATATTAACTTAAACATTGAGATATGAATAGGAAGATAGAAAGGAAATAAGGAATGAGGGAAGAGAAGGAAAACAAATGTATCATAATAAAAAAGAATAAATAGATATACTTAAATTTGGAAAGAAATAAAAACATGGCAATATCAACATGAAATTGAGAAATGGGAAGATGAGAACAGGATGAAATAAGGAAGAAAAGCAGGGATTGGAAATCAAAAGTCAGCAGTAGGGAGGATGAGAGCAGGGAATGCTGGTGTTTTTCCTCAGGAGCTTTCTAGAGCCATCTGACCCTTACAATGACATACATTTAATACTGTATCATCTGGTTTCTCTCCTCAGGGTCAAAGTCAAGGAAAGATTTGCAAAAAGAAGGAGAAGAAGCTAACTCTGAAGAAGGGCATGGTGATGGCATATAAGAAAAAGCAGCTGATTTTTGAGGAAAAAGGCAGGTGTAAGCAGAGCTCAGCGAAGCAGATGGGGGTAGAGAGGGGTGTCTGCTTCTCCTGAGAGAGAAACGAGAGGAAAATAACCATAATATGCAACCTTTCCTGCTCTGCCTATCCAAGGAGATGTATGTATATTTCTTACTGTCCAGGGCACATACCCATCCTACCACACAGAGGCACTTCCAAGCATGGCCTGGCTGAAATGCAGCTATTGGCAGATACAGAGACAGTCTCGTACAGGGAAAATAATCCAATTTGTTCATCTTGGACTATTGTTAGCACTGGGCAAGTCCAACCCTAATCCTAACCATCCTTATTTATTTAAGCATCCTCAGCAACTCATCAGCCACAGAGGCTTACCCAAGGTTACCCATAACCCCAGGTTAAAGTCCTATGAGGCAACAACAGCAGAATCACAAACAAAACTGCAGACACAAAACCCTCAGAACATAAGGCTGAGTTTTATCCACACGTTTCCCTCCTTCACCAGCCTCAAAATGCACAGTTCCTGATCACACACTTTGGGTTCAGACTCCATGTGGGCAGAAGCATCTGTGTCAGTTGCATGCCTGGGTGTGATGGTGAGTGCCGGGAACACAACCAGCTCTCAGAGTCCTTGTCCTCTCTCTTCCCAAATGCTGAGTCCCAGCTAAAGCTCATTCTAGTACAGATTGAGCTCAGCTCCTCCTTCTCCCACACTCACTCTCACAGTCTACTGCCTAAAGCATCTTCACTGCAACATGGTCAAGGGAGTGTCCTGATGTCAGTTACCTCTCATCAGTGGCCATAGACAGAATAAGGCTGAACTCTCCAATCTTTCACAGCTAGTGGATTCTGGCTTCTGGAAAACTGACCATATTCAAAGCAGCTCTCTCGAGAGGAGAAGGGATGAGGATGGGATTTCCACTTTCAGGACTCTTGCTGAGGGCACCAGGAGATGGTGGCACTATCAAAAGTCATGGTGAATTATAAGATGATTTTAATATATGTGATAAGACTATTTTAATATATAACATAATATGATTTTAATATCTTAATATTGAAGGAAAAGAAAAGGAGCCCTAGTTTCAAAATATCGTAGTCATCAACAACGAATCAAAAATGATGTGGTCAGGTGAAAGAAGACTCCACAGAACATGATGTGGTGGTATCCAGATAGAATCAAATCAGTTTTCACTGGTGACTGAAGCCAAGTGGACTCATTGGAGAATAAACCACAGTGGAGGAAGTGTGAATGCGAAGAGAGAAAATGGGGAACCAGTGTGTAGATGACTTGAAGAAAGTTGGCTGTGAGGGGACAATAGGTGGAGGAGGTGATAACTAAAATCTCTGTAGCTTGGGGAAAGGGGTTTATGAGATGGCAAAGATGTGAGCCTGTTGTCAGGCTACGGGAAAGATCCTGATGAACTGGAAAGGGTGAAGATGAATTGGAGTCAGTTGCATCACTAGACATGTATCTCCATTCCTTGCATCAACTACGGAGAGAAGATCTCATTTCCATTTTACAGATGTGGTGTCTGACACAGAGGAGTGCCACTCCCCCTGCTAGTAGTCAGAACATGACTTGCAGTCACTGCTGTGAGGTTAGCTTTTCTCTAACTTCATTCACGCATTTCCTCTAAGCTTTTCAACACTTATACAACATTTTTGTCTTCTTCATGGGCTCTTTCCCCTGTTGAACACTTGCACTTCAGTATTAGGTGAGTTTTAGACCTCAGCACCTTTCTCTACATGGAATGTGAAATCATCCAAGAAGATACCAGATCGGGAGTGGTAAGGAACGCAGGTCAGTAAGAAAAGGGCAGCAGGAGGCAGTCCTACCTCCTGAAAGTCAAAGGAAGCTGAGTTCCTTTACCCTATCAAGGTAATTTCTAAATGTTGGATGGCAAAATGATTACCCAAAGTGCTGATTTAAATGCAGATTACAGGGCACCCTTCAAAGTGATTCAGAAGACACAGAGGGAGGCCAGTGGTCAGATTTAACAGCATCCCAGTGATTTTGATAGAAGGGGTTCCCTGATCCAGGTACAGGGTATGGGAAAGACTCGGGCAGAAATAACAAGTCTCCTAATGAACTTCTTTTCCATTCAGCCATTCTCATCACAGATGATACTGGACAGCGCACCTTTCAAGATAGTGAGTTCCTAAGTCTGGTTTATTTTATATTAAAAAAAAATTTTTTTGTGAGTACATAGTAGATATATATATATATATATATATATATATATATATATATATATATATTTATGGGGTGTGTGAGGTGTTTTGACACAGACATGCAATGTGCAATAATTAAATCATGGAAAAATGGAGTATTCATCCTCTCAAGCATTTACAGTGTTACAAGCAATCCAGTGATACTCTTTTAGTTTTCAAAAAATGTACAATTAAATTATTTTAACTGTAGTCACCCTGTTGTGCTATCAAATGCTAGGTACTATTCATTCTTTCCAGCTTTTTAAAATGTGTCTATTAACCATCCCTACCTATCCTCCAGATCCCCCCACCCCGACCCTTCCCAGTCTCAGGTAGCATCCCTGTGTGTTCAACTGTTTTGATTTTTGCATCTCACAAGTAAGTGATAACAAGATGTTTGTCTTTCTGTTCCTGACTTATTTCACTTAACATAATGATCTCCAGTTTCATCCGTGTTGTTGTAAATAATAGGATCTTTTCTTTTCTATGGGTGAATAGTATACAACTATGTATATGTACCATATTTTCTTTACCCATTCATCTGTTGATGGACACCCAGTTTGCTTCCAAATCTTGACTCTGTGAACAGTGTTGCAACAAACATGGGAGTGCAGATATCTCTTTGGTATACTGATTACCTGCCTATTGGTATATTTACCCAGCAGTGAGATTGCTGGATCATAAAAATGTGTAGCTCTATTTTTAGTTTTTTGGAGAAACGTTCTCCAGAGTGGTTGTACTAATTTACGTTCCCATCAACAGCATTTGAGAACCCCTTTTACTCTGCATCCTCCTCAGCATGTGTTATTGCCTGTCTTTCGGCTATAAGCCATTTCAACAGAGGTGAGATGATATCTCATTGTAGTTTTGATTTGCATTTCTCATATGATCAATGATGTTGAGCACCTTTTCATATGTTTGCTTGCTATTTGTATGTCTTCTTTTGAGAAATGTCTACTCGCATCTTTTGCCCATTTTTAATAAGATTATTAGATTTATTTCTATAGAGTCATTTGAACTTCTTAAATATTTAGATTATTAATCCCTCTCGAATGGGTAGTTTGCAAATATTTTCTCTGATTCTGTGGGTTGTGTCTTCACTTTGTTGATTGTTTCCTTTGCTGTGAAGAAACATTTTAACTTGGTGTGATCCCATTTTTCTATTTTTGCTTTAGTTGCCAGTACTTGTGGGGTGTTTACTCAAGAAATCTTTGCCCAGACCATTGTCCTGAGGAGTTGCCTTAATGTTTTATTTTAGTAGTTTCATAGTTGGAGGCCTTAGATTTAAGTATTTAAATGATTTTGATTTGATTTTTGTATATGGTGAGATAGGGGTTTAGTTTCATTCTCCTGGATGTGGATATCCAGTTTTCCCAGTAGTATTTATTGAAGAGACTGTCCTTCCTCCATTGTATGTTCTTGGCATCTTTGTCAAAAATGAGTTCACTGTAGGCACATGGATTTGTTTCTAGGTTCTCTATTTTGTTCCATTGGTCTGTGTGTCTTTTTTTTTTTTTTTTTTTTTTTTAATGCTAGTACCATGTTGTTTTGTTTACTACAGCTCTTCAGAATAATTTGAAGTCAGGTAATGTGATTCTTTTGGTTTTGTTCTTTTTGCTGAGGATAGCTTTGACTATTCTGGGTCTTTTGTGATTTCACGTAAATATTAGAATTCTTTTTCTGTGAAGAATGTCATTGGCATTTTGATAGGAATTGCATTGAATCTGTAGATTGCTTTGGGGAGTATGGACATTTTAACAATATTAATGATTCCAATCCATGAACGTGGAATATCTTTCCATTTTTTTTGTGTCTTCTTTAATTTTTTTCATCAATGTTTTGTGGTTTTTGTTGTAGAGATCTTTTACTTCTTTGGTTAATTCCTAGGTATTTGCTGTTATCCCTATCATCAATGGGATTAGTTTTTTTAAATTTCTTTTTTAGAGTGTTCACTGTTGGCATATAGGAATGCTACTGAATTTTGTATGTTGATTTTATATTCTTCAACTTTACTAATTTGTCATTCTACTAGTGTTTTTAGTGGAGCTTTTAGGTTTTTTCAAATATAAGATCATATCATCTGCTATCAATGATGATTTGACTTCTTCCTTTCCAATTTGGATGGCCATAGGATTTTCTCTTGCCTGATTGCTCTAGCTAAGACTTCCAGTACTATGTTAAATAGCAATAGTGAATGTGGACATCCGTGTGGTGTTCCAGATCTAAGAGGAAAAGCTTTCAGTTTTTTTCCCCATTCAGGATTAAACTAGCTGTGGCTCTGTCATATATGGGTTTTATTATGTTGAGGTATCTTTCTTCTATACGTGGTTTTTAAAGGGTTTTATCATGAATGGACGTTGAACTTTGCAGAGTACCTTTTAAGCATCAATTGAAATGATCATATGGTTTTTGTCCTTCATTCTGTTGATATAATGCGTCACACTGATTGATTTGTGTATGTTGAACCATCTTTGCATACCTGGGAAAAATCTTACTTGCTCATGATGAATGATTTTCCTTCCTTCTCCCTAACTTGCTTAACTCTCTTTCTCCCTTTCTTTCTCTTTTTTCTTCCTTCTTCCTTCTTCTTTCTTTCTATTTCCTCTTTCTTCCTTTCCTTTCCTTTCCCTTCCTTCCCTCCCTCCTTCCTTCCTTTGTTCGTTTGTTCTTTCGTTCATTCGTTCCTTCCTTCCTTGCTTTCTTTCTCTCTCTCTCCTTCCTTCCTTCCTTCCTTTGTTCCTTCCTTCCTTCCTTTCTCACTCCCTCCCTCCTTTCTCTTTCTTTCTTTCTCTTTCTTTCTTTCATTCATTCTTTCTTTTCTCTCTCTGCTTCCCCCATCCCCCTCCTGCCCCTCTCTCTTTCTTTCTTTCTTTTTCTTTTCCTTTCATTCTTTTCTTTCTTACTGGGGTTTCACTTGGTGCTCAGTCTGGAGTGCAGCGGTGTGAACATGGCTCATTGCAACTTCTGCCTCACATGCTCAAATGATCCTCCCACCTCAGCCCCCAAGTAGCTGGGACTCCAGGCTTGTGTCACCATGCCTGGATAATTTCTGTATTTTTTGTAGAGACACGGTCTCACCATGTTGCCCAGGCTGGTCTCGAAGTCTTGAGCTCTAGTAATCTGCTTACCTTGGCTTCCCAAAGTGCTTGAATTACTGGTGTGAGCCATGACACCTGGCTATAAATGATCTTGTTAATGTTTTGTTGAAATTCAGTTTGCTGGTATTTTGATGAAAATTTTTGCATCAATATTCATCAGACATATTGCCTATAGGGTTTTTTACTTTTTTTTTTTTTTTTTTTTTTTTTTTTTTTTTTTTTTTAATGTGTCTTTGACTGGTTTTGGTATCTGGGTAATACTGGCCTGATAGAATGAGTTTGGAAGTATTCTCTCTTCTATTCTTTGGAATAGTTTGAATAGAATTAGTATTCATATTTTGCTTTAAATCTTTGGTAGAATTCAGCAGTGAATCCTTCAGGTCCTGTCCTTTTCTTTACTGGGAGACTTTTTGTTATAGCTTCAATCTCATTACTCATTACTGATCTGTTCAGGTTTTACATTTCTTCATGTTTTAATGTTGGTAGGTTCTATGTGTCTAGGAATGTATAATTTTTCTCTAGATTTTCCAATTTATTAATGTAGGCACTTATAACTATAAATATCCCTCTTCGTACTGCTTGGCTGTGTCCCACAGCTTTTGGTATGTTGTGTTTCTATTATTTCCAATATTATTTGTTTCAAGAAATGTTTTAATTTCCTTATTAATGTTTTCCTTGACCCACTGATCATTCGGGAGCATATTGTTTAATTTTTATGTATTTGTATAGTTTCCAAAATTCCTCTTGTTAATTTATAGTTTTATTCTATTGTGGTCAGAGAAGATGGTCAATATTATTTCAATACTTTGGAATGTTTTAACACTTGTTTTGTAACCTAACATATGGTGTATTATTGAGAATGATCCATGTGCTGAGGAGAAAAAAATGTGTATTCTGCAGCCTTTAGATGAAATGTTCTGTAAGTATCTGTTAGGTTTATTTGTTCTATAGAGCAGAATAAGTCTGATGTTTCTTTCTTGAGTTTCTTTCTGGGAGATCTGTTCAGTGCTGAAAGTAGGGTGTTGAGGTCTCCATTTGTTACTATCTCTTTAGTGCTCATAATCTCTCTTTAGCTTTAATAATATATCTCTCTTTAGCTCCAGTAATATTTCCTTTATATATCTGGGTGCTCCAGTGTTGAGTGCATATATATTTACCATCATTATATCCTATTTCTAGATTGATCCCTTTATCATTATATAATGACCTTTTTTTTGGCTCTTCTTACAGTTTTTGTCTTGAAATCTATTTTGTCTTATGTAAGTATAGCTATTCCTGCTATATATATATATATATATATATATTATATATATATATATATAATATATATAATATATATAAAAATAGCATATATATACATACACACACACACACACACACACACACATATATATATATATATATATATATATATATATATATATATATGACTTTAGGTTCTGGGGTACATGTGCAGATCATGCAGGATTGTTGCATAGGTACATACATGGCAATGTGGTTTGCTGCCTCCATCCCCCTGTCACCTATATCTGGCATTTCTCCCCATGTTATCCCCAACCTCCCTACCCCCTGCTATCCCTCCCCTAGTCCCCCTCAACAGGCCCTAGTGTGTGATGCTTCCCTCCCTGTATCCATGTGTTCTCATTGTTCAACACCCGCCTATGAGTGAGAACATGCGGTGTTTGATTTTCTGTTCTTGTTTCAGTTTGCTGAGAATGATGGTTTCCAGGTTCATCTACATCCCTAAAAAGGACACAAACTCATTGTTTTTTATGGCTGCATAGTATTCCATGGTGTATATGTGCCACATTTTCCGTGTGCAGTCTATCATCAATGGGCATTTGGGTTGGTTCCAGGTCTTTGCTATTGTAAACAGTGCTGCAATGAACATACATGTGCATGTGTCTTTATAATAGAATGATTTATAATCCTTTGGGTATATACCCAATAATGGAATTGTTGGCTCAAATGGAATTTCTATTTCTAGATCTTTGGCATGGAATCTCTTTTTCCATCCCTTTATTTTCAGTCTATATGAATCTTTATAGGTGAAGTGTATTTCTTGTAGGCAGTAGATCATGGAATCTTGTTTTCTTTTTTAATCCATTCAGTCACTCTTTATCTTTTGATTGATGAATTTAGCCCATTTACAATTAATGTTATTATTGATAAACAGGGACTTACTCTTGCCATTTTGTTACTTGTTTTCTGTTTGTTTTGTCACCTTCTTTTCTTTGTTTTTACCTTTCTTTTGGTAAAGGTGATTTTCTCTGGTGATGTTTTACGTTTTTTGAATTTTGTTTTGTGTATCCATTGTAAATTTCTTGATTTGAGGTTACTATGAGACTTCCAAATACTCTCTCATAACCCATTATTTTAAACTGATGAGAACTTAACATTGATTGCATAAACAAATAAACAAGCAAAAAAAAAAAAAAAAAAAAAAAAAAAACTAATAAAAACTCCACACTTTAGCTTCCCACTTTCTAACTTATTGTTGTCTTTATGTCTTATTGTACTATGTCTTGAAAAGTTGTTTTAGTTGTTACTTTTGATTGATCCATCATTTATTCTTTCTATGTAAGTGTAGTTTACACAGTATAGTTATATATTATTATATTATGTATAATGTCATATTATATATATAATGTAGTTATGTATATTATAGTTATAATGTTTGTGTTTTTCCATGTGCTTTCTATTATCAGTGAATTTTATGTCTTTAGATGATTTCTTCTTGCTCATTAATGTCATTTTCTTTCAGATTGAAGAAATCCCTTTAACATTTCTTGTAAGATAGGTCTCATGTTGATGAATTTCTCAGCTGTTATTTGTCTAGAGAGGTCTTTATTACTCCTTCATCCTTGGAGGATATTTTTTGCCAGGTATACTAGGATAAAAGTTTTTTTTTTTCTTCAGCAATTTAAATATGTCATGCCACTCTCACCTGGCCTATAAGGTTTCCAGTGAAAAGTTTGTTGCCAGACATATTGGAATTCCATTGTATGGTATTTGTTTCTTTTTCCTTGCTGCTTTAGAATCCTTCCTTTATCCTTGATCTTTGATAAATTGATTATGAGATGCCTTGAGGTAGTCTGCTTTGAGTTATATCTACGTGGTGGTCTATAACGTACTTGTACTTGAATATTGATATCTTTCTCTGGGTTTGGGAAATTCTTTAATATTAGTCCTTTGGATAAGCTTTCTTACCTTATCTCTTTTTCTATGTCCTCTTAAAGGCCGACAACTTTTAAAGCTGTCTTTCTAAGGCTATTTTCTAGATCATATACATATGCTTCATTGTTTTTAATTCTTTCTTCTTTTGTCTCTTCTGACTGTGTATTTTCAAATAGACTGTCTTCAGGCTCACTAGTACTTGCTTATGCTTGACTGAATCTGCCATTAGTGACTCTCATGCATTCTTCAGTTTGTCAATTGCATTTTTCAACTCCAGAATTTCTACTTGATTCTTTTTGATTATTTCAATTTCTTTTTCAAATTTACCTGTTAGAATTCTGAATTCCTTTTCATGTTGTCCTTTGAGTGTCTTCAAAACACTATTTTGAATTCTTTATTTGAAAGGTCACATGTTTCTTTCTCCAGGATTTGTCTCTGGTAGCTTATTTAGTCTGTTGGTGAGGTCGTGTTTTCCTGGGTGATCCTGATTCTTGTAGATGTCTTTTGATATCTACGCATTGATGAGTTAGGTATTTATTGTAGTCTTCTTAGTCTGGGCTTGTTTGTGCCTGTCCTTGAGAAGGTTTTCCAGATATTCAAAGGGAGTTGGGCTCCCTGTTTAGTATCTCTGTGGTTGTTGCAGATTTGTAGAGGTTCTGCTTTGGTGGTCTTGAATAAGATCCAGAATAACTACCTGGATTTCCAGGCAAAGAATCTTGTCCTTTCCCCTTACTTTCTTCCAAACAAATGGGATCTCTCTCTCTTTGCTGAACCACCTGGACCTGGGAGGGTGGTGATGCAAGCACCCCTGTGGCTACCACCACTGGGACTGCACTGGGTTGGACCTGAAGCCAGCCCAGTGCTGGGTCTCACCCCTGGCCTGCTATAACCACTACCTGGCTACCACCTGTGTTCACTCAAGGCCCTAGGGCTCTACTCTCAGCAGGTGATAAAGCCAGTGAGGTTTTTGTACTCCCCTTCAGACCAGTGAGTATTCTCAGGCCCTGAGTGGGTACAGAGATGCTGTCTGGGAGCTAGGGATTGGAGTAAAAAAGCCTTATAAAATTTACCTTATGTTCTACTCTACTCTGCTAAGCTGTCATTCATAAGACATAGTTTTTCCCACTCACCCCTCCCCTTCTCACAGGCAGAGGTCCCTGCAGGGGTTCTGTCAGGCCATTGCGTATGTTTGCTAACAGCTCATGGGCTCATCAGTCAGCTTGTGGTAAATTATAGCTGGACTGGGTCTCACCCTTTAGGGAAGTGGGCTCTCCTCTGGCCCAGAGCAGGTCCAGAAATGCTGTTGAAGAGCCTAGGCCTGGTCCAGAGGGCCCCAAGAACCTGTCTGGTACACTGAGTCACTGTGGCTGAGCTCGTACCTAAGATGCAAGACAAAGCTTCCTTTACTTTTCCCTCTGCTTTTCTCAAACAGAAGGAATCTTTTACCACAGCCACCACAGCTGGGAATATGCTGGGCACACCTTTAGTCAGCACATCTCAGAGCCAAAGGCCCACTACATACTACCTTGGTACTGCTGCTGGCTATTTAGGGCCCAGTGGTTCTTTATTCAGCAGGTGATAAATTCTGCCAGGACTGTGTTATTCCTTTCAAGGCAGTAGGTTCCGTTTTCACCCAGGAGTGTCTAGAGATGTTTTCCAGGAGTTAGGGCTTGGAATGGGGGCCTCACAGCTCTGCCCAGTCTCCTATCCTACTGTGGCTGAAATGGTATCCACGATGCAGGACAATATCCTCTGTGCTCTTTGCTCTCTTCCACTTAGCCAAAGGGAATAACACACTTTTATTGCTGTGAGCTGCTCTGCCTGGGATTAAGGGCGGGGTAGCACAAGCACCTTTTGTTAGCGACCCCAACTAGTGTCTCTCTAGGTCATGTGTTACTCTAGTCCTCTGGCTCTGAGCCCAGCTCAGCATCAGGAATTGCCTAAAAATTGCAGTCCTCATGTCCTAGATTGACCTTTATGTTCTCCTAGGACTCCAGAACACTTTGGCTGGCATTAGTGAGTCTTACCAGGAAACTTGAGTTCTGAAAGAAGGAATGGGCAATTACCCTTTTACTAGATCTGGTCCAAATGCTCCCTTTGTGCACTGGCACTGATTGAGTCCAGCCTGGCTCTGCTCTCTGCTATGCAGCACTGAGTTCAATATAATGTTATCCAGTCATGGTGCCCTCTCTCTCCCAAGTGTACAGAATTTCCGAGAGGCTAGGCTACTGTGGGGCGAGTCTACTGATTGGTGGCTACAGCTCACTACCATCTCTCCAACCCTCTTCAATGCCTCGTCCAATGATATAAAGTTAAAACTGGGTACTGTGATTGCTCACCTGATTTTTGGTTCTGTGATGGTGCTTTTCTTTGTGCATATAGTTGTTAAAATTTGGTGTTTGTGTGGGGTGTATAAACCATGAAGGTTTCTATTGCACCATCTTGCTCATCCTCTTCTGTCAGGTGTTTTTCCCCCCCTAGAACTTAGGCACTGCTTATCCCTGACCCCCTTTGTATTCCCACAAGAGCCCTGCTTGGGCACAGCTGCCACAGACCCACAGAGACATTCTCCGAGTCAGGCTCCTCCATTACCTGCAACTGTCCCCATCCTCTGACCCAGTTCCTGTCCCCCGGGGCCACAGGGAAACCAGGCTTCCTCCTTTAAACATTGGGATAGATGTGAGTTTGTTGGGGAAAGAGTCTGCCTGGGGATCCATCTCTCTGGGGAAGTTTTTCAACTGAACTGATGGTACATGTGAGAAAAAAGGGGAGGAGAGAAGAGTTAGAGGCGAGACCAAGAGGGAAATAAGTCGCCGAGGAAAAGTGGTGGTAGGCTAATGTTTGATGAGTAAACACCTTTCTTTCTCTTTCCAGTGGTATTTTGTGAAGCCTGCACTTATTTAGGTGAGTGGAACCTGGCCCTCCCCTCCCAGGACAATCTGCACAACAAAACCCCGCCTGATTGCCTTTGCTACTATTACCCAAGATCCTGGGGTCTGGCCTCCTGGGATAAGGGCAGGAGCAGATAGAGAAGAGGGGTTCAGGGAAAGTAGGGCAAAAGGCTGGAGAAATCTAGTCTTTGAGCCTCTTTGGTAAGGAACTTCATTTCTCTTTTTATCATACTAACTGGGTGACATCCTCCCAAGAGGTGAGTGTGAATTTGCTGGAGGTGAGGACTGGGATCCCATCCTGCACACAGGGACAAGTAAGGCAGATTGCCCCTGCCTTGCCTTTGGCACTGTTGCCTTAGGGCCTGGCCCGTGGTCATGTGGAATGGGAAGGGTTCAGAAAGGCTGGATAATGGAAGGATGGGCAGTGATGCGCGCAGGAAGAAGTTAAGCAAGAGGAAGGAAGTGGCAGGAGAGCAGAACCCTCCAAAACATCTCAAAAGCAAATTTGGTGGGGATAAGGAAGGGAGATGCTGACTTGATTCTCCTTCTAGGATGAATAGAGGAACCCCTCCAGCAAAATGAGTATTTATTAAGGGAGACCCTGGGGCTTCTGGGTGGGAGCTGCAAGTCTGAGCACCCAAACTGGTAGTTTTTCATGCCAGTCAGAAACTGAGGTCCATTTCCAAATTTACACTTTGCTCATGAAACAGACATTTATTGAGGACTTATTGGACAACGAGCATTATTCCGAACCTGAAAGTTATGGCAGTGAACCAAACAGACATAAATTCTTACCTTTGGAGCTTCCAATCCAGTGATCTCTCATCTCAAGCAGATTACCCTGAGGGCACCTGGTGCCTCCTAGGAGAGACAGAGAGTCCCAACATGCAGCCCCAGGTTCATTCTTCATAGACATTGAGGATTCTGGCAAAATTACATGATAATAAGGGTAGCTTATATGTGCCAAGTGTCTTACACACATGTATTCTCTCTCTTGTTTTTTTGAAATGAGGTATTACTATGTTGACCAGGCTGGTCTTGAACTCTTGGCCTCAAGCAGTCCCCCCATCTCAGCCTCCCAAAATGCTGGGATTATAGGCATGAGCGAGCATGCTTGGCCTACATAAACTCTTATAATGCTCATAGCATCCCATTTAACAAATATGGAAACTGATTCCAGAGTACCCAAGATTTTTGCCTCTAAAGCCCAATGCTAGATTTTACAGTATTCCTGACATGTTCTAGAAATGACCACTTTGTCATTCTCTTCCACCTGTGGTGATGTCATTTCAGAATCTCAATCTCTGCTCCCAGTATTCTGTTTCCTCCTTTCAGAGCACTGGATTGTCCATCGTTTTAGCTTCTTGTGACAGCTCTGTTCCCAGAGCTCAAGCATGCCATCAGCAGAGGCAATTTTGGTTAGCAGCTGAAAGGGATAGAAGAGTTTGGCTCATATTCCTGCAAACAGGCTGTCATTCCGTGGATGTTCTAATCAAAGAATTGTCCCCACTTTCTGGTTGGTGTTGATGCCCGAGAACAGATTTCAAGGGTCTACAAGAGGAGGTTTCCCGGAACATAGAGGCACTGGCCCAGCTCTCAAAGGATGTTCAGGTTGTCGTGTTCTCTAGTATCCTGGTCATGCTCAGAGAAGGAGAGGATCTTCAGGACCTGATGTACACGGTGAGGGGTTCCACAGTTGCCTAGGTCTGGTAAAAGCTGTAAATGGGATTGTTTAGGAGATACGACTACCAAGTTACATGGGGGAGGAAGAATAAGCAAGATGCCAGGAGGATGAGAAAGACTGGGGACTCTGGTACCCAGGCACAGTGTGCCAGGATGTGCCACCCGCCACATACTGAGGCTGCTTGAAATCCCCTGGGGGAGGTAGAGAACCCTTACTCCTACCCTTTGGTTATCATCAGTAGACACAGGCAAATTATATAATATTACTGTTATTAGTAGTAGTATTAACAATAATACCTGTTTTCTATAGCTGAAATTGGACAGCTCAGGTCATTTGGATGGCTCTGGTAGTGCCATCCTAAAGATACTTCAACAGAATTCAAGCCATGCATTGTCTAAATCAAAGGAAGCCATTCTGTATCTCCTTGAAGCCATAATGGGTAAGAGTAATTAAAGGGAAGAATGGGAGAGTCATAATGTTGGTCCCCAGAACCCAGAAAAAGCTGCGTTACATGCCATGTCTCCAAAGCCCTTTGAATGCCATGGACTTGTCCTTATATCACAGCTCTCTCTAAGATCAGAGGGCTCACTGTGATAACTTGCCATATGATAGAGGATGAATTTAAGGTCTAGGAAGTCACCAGCTCATGTTCATCCACAGATCACTGGAGGTGGGTGATTTCAGCCTTCAGCCCTTGAATCCCATCCTTTTGTCCTTCTTATTTAGCATCCTGGAGACCATTCTCAAGGACTTCCCAGGGCAGAGAATTTGATCTTCAAGTCTAATGGGTTTATTCCTCTGTCTTAGAGTTATTCTCTCAGGGGGTCTCCTGCTTTAAGGTAGGAAGAAAAATCTGAATTCTTCACTACTGTCTTTCCCCACATGTTCCCTACCCTCAGTGCTGAGTGACATCCAACACGATTTGCTGGCCTGTTCCATGGATAAGAGGATCCTGCTTCAGCAACAGGAGCTGGTGAGGACTTCCCAGGGACCAGAAGTTCAGGGAAGGGGATGAGGAAACCAGAGTTAAGAAGAATCATTCTGAGGAAAGACAGATGATACAGGTTTATGCCAAGAGAGGATTCCCGATCCCAGGGTGGCCACTGGGAAGTCACTAGTTGCAGTGTCCTTCTGGAGACCTGACCCAGTGGGTATGAGTCTCCCTCAGGAGGGTCTCAGTTTCCATGGCAATCCCTGTGGCATTCCCCAGCAGGTCTAAAATAGCCACATAGGAGCACCCAGGACTTTGAGGTCTAAAGGGATATGATAGTCCTGCTCTAGTTACACCATTACCATCTGCTGATCACTCCTGCTCTAGTTACACTGTTCTGATTTGCTAATTTCTCTATTTTTCTCTCTTCAAGTATATGTATATATAAATACATACCTTTATATGCATATACCATATACATACATATGTGTATATACGTTTAGAAATAAAAACACCACTATTCTATAAGGGGAGTTTTATTTTCACCATTTCATAGACGTGGAACCTGATTTCCAATAACTTGATCTACTGAACATAGGATGTGACCAGCATGTTACTCCTGGTCCTCGGGATCCCAAAGCTCTTGTTCCTTCTATTATCCTCCATGGGCCCCTGGCTGCTGGGGTAGAAGCTTTCTCTTCCTGATCTTAAAGGCTGGGCTGTAGAATCTGATCATCCTTCTTCTAGGTAAGGAGCATCCTGGAGCCAAACTTCAGAGACTCCTGGAGTATTCCCTTCACCCTCAAGCCGGAGCTCCTTGCCCCACTCCAGAGAGAGGATTTGGCCATCACCTATGGCCTGCTGGAGGAGTGTGGCCTGAGGATGGAGCTGGATAGCCTCGGGTCAACCTGGGATGGAGCTGTGAGGATGCCCCTCTCTGCCCTCTATGGGACTCTCTCATTGCTGCAGCAGCTGGTTGAGGCTTAAGCCCTCCCTGATGGGCAGTCAGTCCAGAGATGCTGGCCCCTGCCCAGTCAATGCTGTGAGTGTCTTTAGGGGTGCAAGAGACAGGGCTGTGCCTCTCTGCTCTTCCAGGTCGAGTAGAGACAGCCATGGGTAGAGAATTTAGGAAATGTTTTGTGGGTGGTGGAATACTCTATATATTGACAAGGGTTTATATATCTGTCAAAACTCCTCAAATAGTATGTTAAAGATGTAAGCATTTCATTATGTTTAAATTTTACTTCGAAATAATAAAAACAAATACTCTAGTTCATGGTGTGCATTTTGAATGGTTTTGGGCAAAGTGTACCGGTAATATTAGATAACTTACACTGAAATGCAACAAAAAGTAAGTTGACTTGGTAATAGACAGATGTGTGACCAAGGAAATGTGATAGAGTATTAATAATTCGGGAATATGGGTGAAGAATATAGAAGAGTTTTTTTTTTAACTCTTGAAACATTTTGTGAGTTTGAAATTGTTTCACATAAAATGTTAGCCCCCAAATGTGTGTGTGTGTGTGTATGTGTATATTCCTCAATTACTAACATTTTGTCACATTTTCTTGGTCATGTATCTGTCTCATCCTGTGCTCTCTGTGTCATTTGCTAATGCCACCTGGCCTCCTGAGCTACAAGCTGGGAGTCCATCTTGACTCATCTCTCTCCTTAACCCCCAATCAACACAGTCCAGCCGACTCAACATCACCCTCCTCTTCTCACCTGGACAGTGGGTCCGGTGCTCCCAGCTGGTTTTCCCACCACCATCTTGTTCTCTTCAAATTCTCCTTAAATCCTGGAGGTTCATATCACAGCAGGCATGGGGAATAATTAAAAAAAAAATGCAACCTTTATATGTCACTCCTCTGCCTAAAATCCTTTAGAAGCCCCCTGTCATCTAGAATCATCAACCAAGATTTCAAACATGTTGTCTCATCAGAATCACATTGGCCTGCATTTTCACATGACAATAATCAAGTGAATAATCACCGTTCACTCCAGTGTATTCCAGTAATCCCTATTGCTCACATCGTGTCTCACTTTTAGATGGTGTTTACTTATTTTCTGCTAAAAAAAAAAGGCAAGGAAATGTATTCTCCCATCTTGCTCTTCTACCATCTGCTATCTCCCAATTATTTTATTATTTGTAAATTGATTGTAACCATATTCCTCAGGAATGTAACCAAGGAGTGTAACCATATTCCTCAGGGTTGTTTAGTGTTCATTCTTTAATTTTTTTTTTTTCTTTTGAGACAGAGTCTTACTCTGTCATCCAGGCTAGAGTGCAGTGGCATGATCTTGGCTCACTGCAACCTCCACCTCCCAGGTGCAAGTGATTCTTGTGCCTCAGCCTCCTGAATAGTTGGGATTACAGGCATGCACTATTACACCCAGCTGATTTTTGTATGTATTTATTTTTTGTAGAGATGGGGTTTCATAATGTTGGCTAGGCTGGTCTTGAACTCTTGGTCTCAAGTAATCTGCCTGCTCTGGCCTCCCAAAGTGCTAGGATTACAGGCATGAGTTCACAGACTATTTAAATTTATTCATGGGTAACTAACAGTCATTTTATGCCTTGAATGGCTGTGATCAAATCATTTTTTCAGTCGTTCTTCACTCCCTGAGTCCCTTCATATTTGAAAACCTTTGCCTCTTGTCTTATTCTTGAGAATCTCATTGGAGAGAGATTATAGTCAAACTTCTTGCCCTCAGCCTTTTGTGGCCATGCAAAGGTCTCCTGTTGACTTATTGATGCTTTGAAGAAGATCAAGGCCAGTAAAATTTTCTCAGACTCTCCACAAATACATCTAAATGTATGCCTGAAGAATTCTTTCTTCATCCTTGAAGTTAAGCACTTTAACCAGGCAATACCTGTGTCTCAGTCACTCAGTGTCACTTTTCCTGGGACACTGTGCCTTTCAAGCTGCAGATCCAACTTAGGAAAATTTCCTGTTATAATAATAAAATAGCTTTTCTCTTTGTTAGGTTCTCTACCTCACAGATACCAATCGTCCTTTAGGATTCTCCATATATTATCTTGTCTAATTCCTGCACCTTTGATTTTTCTTTTTCATCTGCATTCTCTGAGATCACGGCAGGTCTTTCCTCTATGTCTGTAACTCATCTCTCAACATAATTCCTTTCCACTTTATCAGTTCAGATATGGTGTTGTGATCTTCATTTCCTTAACTTTGCAGTCTCTCTTTTCACGTATTTCTGCTGTTTTACCTTTGCAATTTTGAGGTTTTGCCTTCTTAAAGTATTTCTCTTAAATTCTTCTATGGCACAAAACAGTTCTTTTTCTTGAGCTACGTTTTCCATCTGAATTGATTCCTCCACTCTCTTCTTTTCCTGTAGTGTTTTGTATGGAACCTCTGTCACCCCCCCAACCTATTCCCCCGTAATGCTCATCACAGCTCTGCCCAAACTCTATTTGTATAAAGACAATAGGGTAAATGAGTTTTTCTCAACTCTCTTACCGATTAAATGAGATGGCTTCTGTTCCTCTGCAAACTATGGATTGAAAACTGTGTTTTCCAGTGCTTAAGGTCATGGCATGTGGAAGGGAAAGAGGGCTCACCTGGGGCTTTGGACAGTCTTGGTTAATTGCCCAGCCTCTCTTGCACCTTCTGTGATTTTAAACTTTCTCTGTACCTGAGTTCCCTTACATCATAAAGGGATTTTACCCTTTTGGAAATGACTTCTGGCATCAGTGACCTGAATTCATACAAGGAACTCAGGTCCTTTGGTCAATCCTCGTACTGATTAGATTGTGGGATCATCATGGCAGGTGATCTGAGGTCAGATTTCTTACTTCCTTCAAACTAGGGTGAATGAAGCTGGTCCTTCATTATTGGAGAAACTGCAGGGGCTCCCATCCGAAACCCTAGGATTGTTGCATTGAGAACTTTTTTTGGCCCATGAACATCTGCTTTATTCACTCCATTTCTTTATAGGCATTTAAACATTTCCACCCTGCTGGGATGAGATCCCTGACATCCTTTCTCTCTCTCCTTTATTTCGCCCTTTTCATGTTTCCCCATTTTCTTAGGAACTACACCAGTGTTCTTCCCTGTCCGAGTTTCAGCATAACATTTCCCTTTGGAAATGGCTTTTAGGCTAGTGGCTATATCTCGGGTGGGCCAGAATCTGGACTTGATCCAGCATCCGGATCTTCCCCAACATATTCTTTCCCTGAGGACCCTGAGTCCTGGGGCCGTAGTCAGACCAGCCAGAATCTAAGCTTGGCTTGCTATTTCTTTCATTTTAGCTATTATTATGGATCACAATAAATAAGGAATTGTATGTTTTGCTCTTTCTTGTTACTTTGTGTTTCCTGATGCATACAAGGAGCCAGGTTTCTTAGGAGATGGAGCTCTCTTTTCCAATTCCATTGCTGGCAAGGCTCAGTGACTCATGCCTGTAATCCCAGAGCTTTGGGAGGTGGAGGTGGGCGGATCACTTGAGGTCAGAAGTTAGAGACCAGCCTGGTCAACATCGTGAAACCCTGTCTCTACTAAAACTACAAAAATTAGTCAGGAGTGGTGGCATGTGCCTGTAGTCCCAGCTACTCTGGAGGCTGAGGCAGGATAATTGCTTGAACCCAGGACATGGAGGCTGCAGTGAGTCAAGATTGTGCCACTGCACTCCAGCCTGGATGACAGAGCAAGACTCTGTCTCAAAAAAAAAAAAAAAAAAAGAAAAATTTTGCTTAACTCTTATCAGTTAAGATAAGGGTTAGTATTTAGAAAACAAGACCCTCAACTTCCATTGTAACTGATCACTGCATAGCTGCAATTTTATATCACAGGTTTCTAGGGACTAGGTAGCCATTCAGGAATCAATGTTTATCTCTCACCCTTTTATTCTTTCTCTTCCCAAAGCACATGTTTCAGTGAGTCAGAGTCACTGTAGCCAATATGACTTTTGTGAGATCAGAAAACAACACCTGAAATTAACTACCTGGAGTCAGGCTGAATTTTACAGACTCAGGGCACTGCTTTCACCTCAGACACGAGCTGCAAATTTGCGAGTTCCCAGAACATCTTCACTTTTTACCAGCTGACTACAAACTTGGGGTTTCTCACTAGACCCTCAGGTTCAATAATTCACTAACACAACTCACAGAACTCATTGAAAGTGTCATACTTGCATTTATGTTTTATTATAGCAAAACAATACAAATTGGAATCAGCAAAAAGGTTGAGTTATATAGAGTGAGGTCTAGGAGGTTCTGATATGTGAGATTTGTTTATTTTAAAAATATATTTTATTGTATATGTTTAAGGTATATGACATGTATGGCACACATATAAACAGTAAAATGGTTACTGTATTAGACTGGTTTCATGCTGCTGATAAAGACATATCTGAGAGTAGGTAATTTATGAAGAAGAAAGAGGCAGGCAAAGAGGGGATGAGAACCAAATGAAGTGGGAAACACCTTATAAAACCATCAGATCTTGTAAGACTGATTCACTACCATGAGAACAGTATTGGGGAAACTGCTCCCATGATTGAATTACCCACCACTCAGTCCTTCCCATAACATGTGGGAATTATTGGAGCTACAATTCAAGATGAGATTTGGGTGGGAACACAGCCAAACCATATCAGTTACTATGGTAAAGCAGATGAACATAACTGTGAAACTTCCATGTCCTCAGGGACAGCTCAGACTCTTGGCACATCTAGGTATACAGGATATCATCCATCAGGAAAGCTCACCTGAAGCAGAGACCTCAGCATGTTGGTGCACGGAGGAGTGGTGTATGTAATTAAGATTTTATATTTCAAGTCTATAGTTTTTACAATGTAAATGATAGGAAGTAAAACTCCATTTTGGTAAATGTTGTCTGGTGGTGATATGCAGAAAGTACAACTCTAAGCTATGTCCTCAATGGGCTGTATATCAGATTCCTAAGATTAAGAAGGCTGGGTATGTGACTTTTATGAATATTAGAGGAGGCAAAAGTAAAATAAATGCATTGTGAAGATTGTCAACTGAAAGGAATGTGACTATTCTGTGTGTCAGTTCTGGGATGTTACTTGAAAGTTATAGGTGTGGCAATTCTGTTAACACAGTCTCTCCTCCTTCAGACACATCACTTACTCCTGTAAGCCATGGGGAGTAAATAGAAAGGGAATGGGTTTTGGGCAAGATGTTTTCTTTTTCTTTCTCTTTAGAATACTGATGTAAGATTGGATTACCTAATATATGCAAGGTGCTTGACAGAAAGGAAGTGTTAAAAACATTAATTTCTCT